CTGGCCTGTGATCTTCCTGCATTCAGCATCATTTCATGTGCTGCATGAGTTGGAAGACCAATTTATGGATGAGTATCAGACATATGGCTTAATATACAACTTACTGACTTGCTCTGGACTGGGCTGGGATGTTTTCTCAATATATAATTGCTCTTTCATAAAAAGCTCTCACACACATATGAGTGTCTCTGGATTTGTTTCCTTAGTCAAGCTGGTCTAACACACTTATTAGTTCATTTGTGAAGATTTGAGTTTTCTTTACATTGAGTTGTATGCCATACTGAAGGCTGCAATCTTTGTTCTCCATCAGCAAGTACTTCAAGTCCTCCTCACTTTGAGCAAGCAAAGTTGTGTCATATGCATACCCCAGGTCCTTAATAAGCCTTTCTCCAATCCTGATGCCAAATTCTTCTGCATATAAGCTAGCTTTTTAAAATTATTTGCTCAGCATACAAATTATTGAGTGTGGTGAGTGGATACAACCATGTCACACACCTTTCATGATTTAAAACCCTGCAGTATTCCTTGTTCTAGTCATATAGCTGCCTCTTGATCCATGTACAAATTCCACATGAGCACTATGAAGTGTCCTGGAATTCTAGTTCTTCTCAAGGCTGTCCATATCTTGCTATGATTCACACAGTTGAATGCCTTGACATAGCCAATAAAACACAAATAACATCTTTCTGGTATTCTCTGCTTTCACCCAAGACCCCTCTACATCAGCAATGATATCCCTTTATCCACATCCTCTTCTGAATCTAGGCTGATCATTTGGCAGCTACCTGTCAATGTGCTGTTGCAAATATTATTGAATGATGATCAGCAAAATGTTGCTTCCATGTGATTTTACTTACGTATTTTTTTCCAATTTGGGTACAATTTTCTTCTTCATATTGTCTCACTTCTTGAATGGTTTGCTCACCATACAAATTTAATATATAAAGTGAAAGGATACAACTCTGATATACACCTTTTCTGATTTTAAATCATTTAGCATTCCCTTGTTCTGTTTGAACAACTACCTCTAATTCCATTTATAGGTTCCATAGAAGCACAATGAAATGTTTGGAAATTCCTATTTTTGCAAGAAATAGTCTATTATGAACCACACATTTGAATACCTTTGCATAATCAATAGAACACAATTAAACATATTTCTGGTATTTTCTGTTTTTAGTCAAGATTCATCTGATGTCAGCCATGATATCCTTTATTTCAAATCCTCCTGTGAATCTAGCTTGAATTTCTGACAGCTTCCTGCTGATGTACTGCTGTGATAATGCTTTAAATTTTTTTAGCAAAATTGTCTTTACTTGTGATATTAATGATATTATTTGATAATTTCGGCTATCTGTTAGGTCACCTAATAACCCCGATGGTGTAATCATTATGTGTTGAGCTACTAATGTCATGATCAGCAGTTTGAAACCAACAGTCACTCCAGGGGAGAAAGATGAGTCTTTCCAGTCTCTAAAGAGTTAGTCCCAGAAATCCACAGAGGAAATTCTACCCAGACCTAGAGAGTCACTATGAATCAGAATCAATTTGATGACAGTGAGTTTGGCTTGAGGGTTTTGTTGGGCCACCTTTTTCTTCCTCTGGAATAAGCATAAAAATGGGTCTCTTCCCTTTGGTAGCTGTCTTCAAACTTCTTGGCATAATCTAGTATTGTGAACAGTGAAGTTTTAGTTAACTGAAATATTTCAGTTGATGTTCTGTAAATTCTTGAGGCCTTGTTTATTCTCATGCCTCCAGTGTAGTTTGAACCGCTTTCCTTTAATATTATAAGTTATTCACATGATTTAACATTGATCATTTATTGTGGGGACAGTGATTCTGTGTATTCCTTTCTCCCGTTCTTGATGTTTCCTGTGTAGTTCAACATCTTGACCACAGACTCCTGTGATGTTTCAAATGGAAACTTTGGTTTTTCTTCTTTTCTTTCAGTTTAAGGTATGTGGCATGTTCTTCCTTTTGGGTTTTCTCAATTTGCACATTTCATTATAATTCTTTACTTCGTATTTCAGGCCACCTTTGAAAATTTATGTTCAGCTTTTTTACTTCATCATTTCATCCATTTGACTTAGTTATTCTACAATCAACAGGAAGTTTCAGAGCGTTTTCAAGTATCCACTTTGGTCTTTTACTTATTTTCAATTCTTCAAATGACCCTTTGTTTCTTCATGTATGATAACCTGAATGTCATTATACAATTCGTCTGGTCCTCAGTAATGGTATTCAATGCATCAGATCTGTTCTTGAGGGCCTCTAAATTCAGATGGGATATCTGTAAAGTCTTATTTTGGCTCTCAAGAGCTTTTAACATTTGTCCTTAACTTTGATAGTCTGTTTCCCAGTAAGCACCTGGCCTTGTTTTGGCTGTTGCTATTCAGCTTCTCCACCATCTCTTCCCATAGATATAGTCAATTTGATTCCTATGTATTCCATCCGATGAAGTCTATGAGTATAGTCACTATGCTGTTGAACAAAGGTATTTGCAACAAAGAAGACATTTTTCTTGCAAAATTCTATCATGCAACCTCCAGGTTCATTTTTATCACCAACCCTTATTTTCCAAATACTCTTCCTTCTCCTTGTTTCCAACTTTTATATTCCTATTGCCAATGATTATCAAACCCTTTGGATTTTGTGTTTGATCAATTTCAGACTGAAGAAGTTGGTAAATTCCTCAAATTCTTCATCCCTAATTTTAGTGGGTGTTGTGTAAATTTGAATAATAGTCATATCAATTGGTCTTCCTTGTAGACATATAAATATTATTCTATCATGTACAGAATTGTACTTCAAGATAGATCTTGAAATGTTCTTTTGTTGATGAATGCACCTTGTCCCTCTTGAATTGGCCATTCTCAACATTGTAAACCAAATAATTCTTATTGAAAATGGCCAATACCAGTCCACTTAAACTCACCAATGCCCAGAAGATTGATCTTTATACATTCTATTTCATGACCTAATTATTCATGGACGTTTGTAACTGTTTTTGTTTCGTTTCTCATTTTGACTTGTGCTCCAGTCACAAATGAAATTTCCAAAAGCTTTGCCTCTTTCGTGCCTTGAAGGGCAACTCTGTCTCAGGAGGCAGCTCTTCCCCAGGTGTAGTTTGAGTGGCTTCCAACCTGAGGTTTTTCATCTTCCAGCACTGTATCTTACGATGCTGAGCTACCAATCATAAGGTTTCCAGTGGCTAAGGCCTCAGAAGTGGTCTGCCTCTTCATTCTTCATAGTCTATTCTTCGTCTGAAAGTGCTACTGAAACTTGTTCACCATGGGTTCCATGGGTTCACTGTGTTGTTACCTAACACACCAGTGGCTTGGCTCCCAACATATCAGCAACATGCAAGCCACGACAGTATGACAAAATGTTAAGTAAGTGGGAATAAATATATAAAGAGATTTATTTCAACGAAATGGCTCATACTATTGTGGATGCTAGCATGTTCTAAATCCATGGGTCAGGCAGTAGGCTGGAGGCTCCTCCTGATTTCTTCAAGGTTTGTGTTTATTTAAACTGACCTCTCTTATAACCTGGCTTCTGGTTCCTGGGATTGCAGGAGCTGGTTAAAATTGAAGATCAGTCAGGAGGCTGAAAACTTCTCACATTCCAAGAACTGGTCAGAGGATGATGAGACAAAGGCAAGATTGAAAGAGAGAGAGAACTTTGCTAGAACATCTGTTTAGAGTTCATAGCATGGATTCAGGTAACAGCATCCTTTTTTCAACTAATTGACTTTCACATCAGATCACAAATCAGAAGTGATTACATAGTGTCTGCCAACCCAATGAGAATTATAGACTGGCCAAGACACGTAACATTAACTGTTACATTCCACCTTTTATCAATTTAGCACCCATTAGCACCCATTTTCTTAAATCATACATAAGCTCTAAATAAAGATAATTGTAGAGGCATACTTGTATCTAACATGATATAATTAACATGTCTGCAGCTGAAAACACTATATCCCTATTTAGATCTCATATTTTATCATGAATAATGGAATAAAGTAGGGAAGAAAATAAAGACATTTAAATGCATATACATAAATATACAAAAATATCTGCATATACATTTTTTAAAAGAAAAATACTCCTAACAATTTCAGTCCTTGTTTCTGCAAGTAGTCCTGTTTTCCTAACATCTATTGATAATTAACTTCTCCCACCTATTCAGTATTCCCTTTGACCTCAGCAAGCACTTCAAGTGGTTGTGTGCTGTTGCATATGATTTGATAGGCTAATTTTTGGATGTGGGAGCACTCAAAATATTTACCCATATAAACTAATGACAAATGCTTCACTTTATGGTAGTTCAGCTTAGAAAGGATCATATGAATTTTCTACATTAGGATAGCAGGGATAAAATATATGTATATTTATTAAAATATTATTAAATTGCTTTCATTTAAATAAACTGCTTAGTGAAACATTTAAAATATATACATATTTTGGGAATTGTTTTTTTAATATTTAAAATTTACATTCATTTTATTTATTTATTTATTTATTGGCATTAAGAAAGATTTTATTGAGGCAGGGAAAGAACTCCCGAGAGGGAAGGGAGAGCAGAGAAAGGGGCAAGGGCGCGAGGCCCCTGGCGGTTCCGAGACCCAACGAGTTAGGTCAGGGAAATTGCCCATTTTAATTTTTATATTATTCATGACATTGGATTTGCTTTTTAATAATTTCCTAAACCAGAAAACTGGAGTTCCTATAGTCTGGATTTTTTTTTTTTAACTATGAAATTAGAGTGACTTTATGTTAATATGGATTAACTTATTTTTCTCATTTTGGTCATAGAGATAGCACTTGATTCTATTTCAAGTGATAGGAAATAGACAATGGAAATAAACGCCAGCTCATGGGAAGACTTCATTTTAGTAGGCTTCTCAGACTATCCAAAAGCTGAGTTCATCATTTCTCTGTTTGTCTCTGGCTTCTACACCACAACACTCGCAGGCAACACAGCTATCATCTTGGTCTCTCTCCAGGACAGTCGACTCCACACCCCTATGTATTTCTTCCTCCGAAACCTGTCATTTCTGGACATCTGTTTCACCACCTGCACTGTCCCTCAAATGCTGGTGAACATCTGGAGTGGTAACAAGAGGATCAGCTATGTCGGTTGCACAGTTCAATATTCAGTGGCCTTGGCTCTTGGCTCCACAGAATGTGTGCTTCTTGCTGTCATGGCTGTTGACCGCTACTTTGCTGTCCTGTGGCCCCTGCGCTATACTACAATCATGCACCAACAGATCTGCCACATTCTGGCAGCCGTTTCCTGGCTCTCTGGATTTGCCAACTCGCTCTTTCAGTCATCATTGGCAATGATTTTGCCTCTGTGTGGCCACCGACATGTGGACCATTTTGTTTGTGAGCTCCTAATCATTATCAAGCTGTCTTGTGCAGACACTGGTCCAATTGAATCCAAAATGTTTATTGCTCGCCTGATCATTCTTGCCATTCCTGTCTGCACCATCCTTACGTCCTATGGCTGTATTGCTAGGACTGTGATGAAGATGCACTCTGCTGAAGGACGACAGAAGGCCTTTGGAACATGTGCCTCCCACTTGGTGGTTGTCCTGATGTTCTATGGAACCATCATGTTTACGTATCTTCAGCCTCAGAATAACTACTCTAAGAGACAGGGAATGATTGTGGCCCTTGTATATACCATTGTTGCTCCCACTCTGAATCCACTAATCTATACCCTGAGGAATAAAGATGTAAAGAGGGCAGTGAGAAAAGTTTTTTGTAAGATTTAGTTTAAGAAATTATGCTTCTGGTAATTGGGTCATAGAAATTTTTGGACAGTGGGTTAATAGTTGAAAAGATAATTTACGTGTAAGATTTCAGGCCAATCTAATTGGAAAAGAAATGAAGCCAGTACCAACTAAAAGCTAAATGGTCTTATTAAAAAATTGCATACAATAACAGTCATCCACAATTTTACTCTCATCCAAATCAGTAATTTGGATATTTTGCAACATTTGTTCATTTGCTTGTTAGATTATTGAAGCCATAGTGTTATAGGAGATTCTGAAATATCTTCTAAAGTGGCTTTCATATGAAGATAATGTGAACATGAATAGAGGCAAAGAAAAATTACAATTGATATATTTTATGAAAGAAAACTAATTAATTCAAAGATAACATAAAACTGTGTCTTGGATTGTTGTTCATAGGTCCCATTAGATCTATTATGACTCATAATAATATGTGAAAAAGTAGAACTATTCCATGGAGTTTCTTGGACAGATCAAGGAAAATTTCCTGAAGTACAAGACACTTTAACTCATATTTAAATAGGTATTTAGGACTTGCACATTTGTGTGACAATGGGGTAAGGTACATTCATTATGCCATGAAAAGGGGTGAAAATTACCATCATTCATCCCCCTCCACCCTGAGATTCACATTTCCACTCCTTCTTTTCTAACCCGCTGAAATTGGTCTTTGGGTAAATGATGCCCTCATGATGTTGAACCATCAACTATTCTAGCATGACAGTGAGTTCAGTTCTAGAGCCGAAGGATGGAGCAGGGCCATAGTCTTGGGTTTCACTAGTCTCTTCTTCCCTTTTTCTTCCCTAAGTAAAGAAAATGTAAATTAAGTGTTAAACAGGACAAAGAGAGGACAATTTCAGAGACATATCAATCAAATGAGGGAGCCTATTAATACAAAGTTATAATAGTGTCCAAGAGTTTGCTGTGATGTATAGCTTTAAAAATTACATGGATTCAGAGAAGGCTGTTCCTTAGGCATGATTGCTTGCAGATTAATACAATATAGTTATCAGTGGGACTCCTGGAGCAGAGTGGGGCTGTGATTGGAACATTTGCATTATGTAAGACAGAAGCGCTCTCAATATTAACTTGAGGATATCCTGAGGCAATTCTGGCATGACTCTTGAATATGTGATACCCAGTTTGGTGATCTCCATCAAGGACACCCAGGTAAGCACCTAAGGGAGATTGCTCTTCACTAGGCTGGTCGGGGTGGGTGTGGTGGGTGTGGAGATAATCCACTTTCAAATGCACTAAATCATAGAGCAATACGATTCACATCCTTGATCAATGATTAGGAGGCATCATTGGAAGCTTAATCCAAATGGAACCTTTGAGTCCTATTTGCTTTCAATATTCTATTGTAACCTAATTTTAGAAGTAGATCATCATGTCCTTCTTCCTATTTTGTCTTAGCATAGGAGCTCCATTAAACTACCATAGATGCTCTACTGGTGGTCAGCTTCCAGCATCACAGCAATATGCAAGATGCTAGAATAAGACAAGCTGACAAATAAGTGGTTCTCTCTGTGTCTGTCTGTCTGTCTCTCTCTCTTTCTCTCTCTCTCTCTCTCTCTCTATATATATATATATATATATACATACATATTTATATGTTTCATATATATAATTTTTATCTATGACACTAATAGTATAGTAATTGTTTCTGAAATGCTTCCTGATTGATATTGTTTATAGTACAAAATTGATGAAACAATATAATTATACAACATTATATGAATAAATATGAATTAAAATTAGAGCAATTTTATTGGGAAAGGATGTTCTTAATATTTGCAATAAGTTAATGAATACATTTTTGGCAATATTGTTTAAAAATGTTCACATGTATTTTAGAGAGGGGGGTTAGTGATAAAAATTTGCAGTGAATTTCTTTCTTTTAAGAGCTTTAAGGAGTTGGGGGCAGGGAAGAAAAAAGAAAGAGCTTTAAGATGCTATGCCATATAAATACCAACACATTTGTCCACATATTAATACAAAAAATATTCACTGAAATGCTATGGTCAGAAAATCAACAAAAATAGTACACAAACATGAGATCATTCAGTGTGTAACACCACCCAGAAACCAACATATTGAAAACAACACCCAAAATAACTTATATTTAGAGGGGAAATGAAGACATGAATAACAACCCTCCCCCCACCACATACACAAAACCAAAATCAAACCCTAGAAGAAGAATAAAAAAATGCCAAACACAAAGAATACTATATGACAGCAACTAACCTACATTTAGAGTCAATAACACTGAATGTCCATGGATTAAACATACCAATCAAAAGACAGAGAGTAGCAGGCTGGATTAGAAAACAAAACCCATCGATCTGCTTCATTCAACAGACACACCTCAAATTCACAGACAAAAATACAGTGAGAGTCAAAAGATGGCAAATGATTTACCAAAGCATTGTCAACCACACAAAGGCATAAGTGGCTATATTAATTTCCAACAAAATAGACTTCAAAGTAAACGACATAATGAGAGATAAAAATGGATACTACTTATTTATCAAAGGATCAATATACCTAGAAAATGTAGCCATTAGAAATATATAAGTGTTGAACGAAAAACCCTTGAAATATAGCAGTCAAATCCTCAAAGAGATTAAAAGAAAAATCACCAGATTGACTCTAAGAGTAGGAGACTGCAATACACCACTCTCGATGAAAGATCAACAGGAAAGAAACTCCATAAGGAAATGGAAGAGTTGAATGATACAATCAAACAGTTAATCTCCTTGATATTTACAGAGTACTCCAACAAACAGCATAAATAAATAAATAAGTAAAATAAACAAAAACCCACACTCTTCTAAAATCACATGACACATATCCTAAATTAGATCACATGCTAGGTCACAAAGCAAGCCTTAGGAAATTCAAACACATAGAGATCATTCAAGCAACCTTCGCAGACCACAGTGTCATAAAACTGGAAAACAACAATAGAACGAACAAACACATAAGACACACACATGCATGCTCAACAACAATACGCTACTCCAAAAAGACTGGCTATTATCCCAAATAAGAGATGAAACTAGGAGGTTCCTTGAAACATATGAGAATAATAACACAACATACCAAAGCATATTGGGCACAGCAAAAGCAGTTGTTGGAGGTCAATTTATAGCAATCAATGCACACATTAAAAAAGAGGAAAAAATAATTTTCAACACTTTCACACAACACCTCCAACTATTAGAACAATGACAACAGTTTAAACTCTCCTAGAAAAGATCAAAAGAAAACATAAAAGTAGAACAATAAATGAACTGGAAAACAGAAAACAAAAACAGGAAGAAAGAAAAAAACCAAGAAGGTGGTTCTCTAAAAGGATGAACAAAATTGACAAACTGCAGGCAAACTTAACAAAGGAAAAGAGCAGATGCAAATATCTAGGATTAGAGGTGAAATGGATGGCATCGCAAGAGATCCAAATGAAATAAAAAGAATAATGAAACAATATTACACGAGACTGTATTCCAACAAATTCAATAATCTAGAAGACATGGAAAAATACCTAAAACTACACCCTCTACCCAAATTAACACAGATGGACATCAAAACTTGAACAGACCCATAGCAAAAGAATGACTAGACAAGGTCATTCAGAAACCCCCAACCAAAAAAGGGCCAGGACCAGATGGGCTCCCAGGATAATTCTAAAAGTATTCAGGGAAGAGCTGTCACCAATTCTACACAAACTATTCCAGAATATACAAAGGGACTGCAAACTCTCAAACACATTCTATGAAGCCAGCATAACTCTGATCCCCAAATCAAGCAAAGACCCCACAAAGGCAGGATACAACAGATCAATACTCCTCATGCTCATAAATGTAAAAATTCTCAACAAGACACTGGCCAACAGAATCCAACAACATATCAACAACAAAAACAAACAAACATTAAAAAAACAAAAACATCATGACCGAGTGGAATTCATACTAGAGATGCAGCGATGGTTCAACATTTGAAATACAATTAATGTAATCTACCACATAAACAAGATAAAGGATAAAAATCATCTGATCATATCAGTCCATGCAAAAACTAACAAAAGCACTCAATAAGCTAGGAATAAGAGGGAAATTCTTCAACATTATAAAGGGTCACACATGAAAAGCCAACAGTCAATGTCACAGTCAATGAGGGAAAACTTTTGGTAGCCTTCTTGACTCTTTGATATTTTTCTTTCTATGATTTTTGTTATATAAAACCGAGGGTGGGTGAAAGTATAGTGACAATAACTAGATTAAGGATTCCTGGGTGTACAAGGTGGGGGGGATAATGGGGAGCTAACATCCTGGAGTACAAGAAGGAAGAAGAATGTTTTGAAACTGATTTGTGGTAGTGATTGTACATTTCTTGATAGGATGTATTATTGAAGGGTATAATGTTGGGATTATGTCTTAATAAAATGGTTTTAAAAAATAGTTTTTATAAAAAGAGTTTCAGAAGAAAGAGAAAATTATAGGGAGAAATTTGACTAAAAATGAACTTAAATTTTTTGGAACCTTACAAAATTACACGTGTCTAAGAGTAAATAGAAAGCATATGAGTACCATTAAGAAATAATCAGTAGTCCCTTCTCAACAATATTCTAAATTCTATACCAGTGGCTAATTTTATGATACTATTATTAGAATTATGAAGAACCCCATGAAAGTCAGTTATAGTATTCCTAAACAATTGCCACGGAAGTGGAACAGGGATATATACACACCTTATATAGAAGAAGGGATTTTGAGGTTGCCCTCAATTTCCCACCGGAATGTAAGAACAATCAGTTCTTATGATGTGGCCCTCCCTGCTCAGCGCTTATGAAAGGATCACTGGAGGTAAAGATGCTGTAACAAAGTGTGGTGAAGATATCAGATGGTTCTCTGCTATGAGAACGAATAGAGTCTGGAAATGATCCTCCATTGAATACCCTCAGATCTTTGCCCAGG